TCATTTTATGATTCCGTTACGGACAAGGTATATTTTCTTGGCGGGATTAAATGGCGTGGACAAGAAAGATTGGACACTATTTATGAGTGGGACCCCGTCAATGAAACGTTAACCCTGCTTCAGGAACGTTTACCGTTGCAGGAAACGGACGGAAAATTAATCTGGGATCAGGAAACCGGGACGGCGTGGATATTCCATGACAGTAATGCGTGGACGACACGTGGAAACGCACCAAATCTGGGACAGATAGAGGCTCCGGTTTTGATGTTTTTTAAGCCGACAACTCGAGAAGTTGGTTCTTTACTTCTGGAGCATTTTCTGGACCATTCAGCAACAAGATTTGGCATGGCGTGGGTTCCCGAGTTGAAGAGGATCTACATGTTTGGAGGAAACAGTCAAAATTGGGGGGCATACGCGACGGATAGGATTCAGTATATTCAGCTGTAAATTGTGGATGGGATAAAGTAGAATGAAATACTTTGATCAAATGGTTTGATAAATTTGGAATTATTTAATCTAAGTTTATTGCGTGATTTAATTTTTCTTCGGAGAAATTTATTTTAAGCAATAAATTTTATTACTTCTGCTAAATCGTCAAATTATTCCACACATGTTTAATACTTGCTAGATTATTATGCATTCCTGATTTGGAAATTATAAAAAATGAGAGGGGCCCAGTTTTTAAGGCCTAGTCATATTTTTACGTACTGTATAGTCGAGCAGCACCTTAGAGAACAAGAGAAGATGGGGAAAACGAAGAAAGGAAGATGCATAATTTTACTGTACAACATTAAGGGACAAGTAACAATGCGAAGGTGTTACCTCGGATTTCGATCGGGATGGATTTTAAAAAATATTCTAACACAAAATTTCAAATTTTCAAAATGCTGCAACTTTTCAAATTTTGGACCGATTTGAAGGATCGAAAACATGACTATGTAAGTAAAAATTTGTGCATTTTTTAGAAATTTGTTAAATGCATACCGTAAAATCTCTAACAGAGGCCGGTATGTAATATATAGTAGCCGGGTTTCCAATGGAGGCCGGGTCAATAATTATGGCCGGTTCTCTATATTACTCCCATATTATCAGGACTAAATGTAGAATATATTTCGCAGAATCATCCTTGGAATTTTAGGTTAAGTTTATTTTTAGAATTTAGAAAATGCGGGACCAGTGAAATCTAGTGATTTTTTGCAAAAAAAAACACTCCTAGGAAGGGCTGCTAGAAAATTTAAGATGATTCGGAAATAATTCACTTGTTTAAAAACGTAAAAACAATAATGTAGGTAGCATTTTAGAAATACTCATTCATGTTTAATTTCAGGAAATTTTCTTATTAAATAAGGAAAACTGAAAAGATAAACCTGGTGGTGTAAAACATGACTGCACAAACAGACGCATAGTCAGTCAACAATTAAGCAAAACTGGACTAACACAATTTGAAATTACTGTGACCGTCCTATGAAGCTTCGGGATGGCTGGTCTGTACCCCTGAAACACGCTACATCCCGTTGATCAACTGATTTACTGATTTAAAAAACTGTAGTTTTTGCCAGTTAAAAAAAATCCGAATCATAGTATAGGCCTCGCCTCTAATTGAGACAGGGTCTGAAACTCATAATTTTATATAGAGGCCGGGGGCCTCTGTTCGAGATTTTACGGTAATTTATATTGTAAAGTATTACATGTCTGTATATGTAGGTCAATGTAATTATGACCTTTTTATTATTAATAATAGCACCTGATCAATTTACATATGTGAGATTTTTATTGAACTGTCGAACACCAAGAATGTGTAAGTATTTATATCGAATTAATAATGGTTTACTAATTAACGATTCCTACAATTTTCTGCGTACTTATAATATGCACATAAAAATCTCCACATAAGACATATATAATTATGCAAAATACTAGAATTGTTATAACACTGAGAATTTAGATTACTCATACACTCTGACCTCAGAAATAACTTCCACTCTGTTCCTAATTACATATGACAAACATAAATACATATGTACGTGTGTCATTGCATTCCTTAAGCCACCTACATATGTATATATGTAAGTATGTATATATATGTAAGTATGTACATACATACGTGCACAATGTAAAAGTGTTTATTTCTTACTGCTGAACTTGACAATGATTTCTCTAATTTTACGCGATTTTTAGATTTGACTTGAAAAAGATTTCTGCATCGAAGACGCTTTTTTTGTTCACATTTTTTACGCTATGGACACGAAACGTTTCATGCATCCAAATACATCAGGAACTGTCCCATGGGAACCCGGTATCCACAATATTTACAATGATCTCTTCTGTATTTATGTGATTATGCATTTGAAAATGTAGATTTTTAATAATGCTTTTGTCATGCATTTGATTCCTGTCGACTTAATCTTGTGATCTGCAAATTTATTTCGTGCTATTGGTTCCCCCGATTTCATATATGTAAGTTATCTACTAGGTTTTCTTAGAATATTAGAACTAAATATATATGAGTGAGGATTAAAATGAAATCCACATTGACAAAAATATGTATGAGCAAGTTACTCATTCAGCATAAAATTTAAGTGTTTCGTAACGGGGACAAAACTCTCGTTACATGGGATTGCCCGGAACAAAGGATCTCGACGAGAACAAAGAAATTTCTCGCTCACCTGCAATTAATCCATAAATTCGGTGGCACCGTTGCATGCACAAATATGTCAATCAAAATATCCTTTAGTTTAGTAAAAGCACAATCTTTTAAAATTCTCTTGTTCTTATCGTACGTGTATTTTCATAGTCGTGTGACCAATGAGTCAGCTTTACCACACCTAGTTTCTCATCCCAAGTTTCACCTATTTCCTCATTCAGTTCAATTTATTAAAATATTATTAATTTTTGAAAACTCACTCGTACATATTATTCGCAATAATTGTTTAAAATCTACATACATACATAAGTTCATATTGTGCTTTTTCGACATACAGTAAAAATGTGACAACAACAAACGTGAAAATATCAAAACTTTGTCTCAATTGGACATGTAGTTTTTGAGTTATCAAGATGTAGAAAACGTTTCATCATGGTGTAAATTAGTAGTTAAGTTACGTGTGGTCATGGATGTCCATGAGGATAGTGAAATGCAGGCCGTCCAAGAGGATGAGGGGGCCCGTGAATTCTGCGTTTATATCCAGCGTGGCTCTTGTCGTGAGCTGTTTAACAGGATAAAAGGACGCTGGGAGAATCTTCGCATTCGATGGCAAAATGTGATGAATTGGGAAGTTAAAATAGTTAAACTTAAACTTAGTTATACAACATAGGTTAGAACAACACACTTATTTATTAAATTTTATTCCAATTATGTCTCCTGGTGTCCAATGATGAAAAACAGTATCTGTACTGACTCATGTCCGACACAGTTAATAAAAACCTACTCAAACTCAAACTCAAACAAACAAACCGTCACAGGAGTCAGCCTGTGTCCGAATTTTTCAAAAAATCCCCGGTTTAAGGCAAAGTGCACAGGATGGATTGCATGTTTTGGCAAGGTTAATTAATTAATTATAATCATAAATATTTTGAGGATTCATTACGAGTTCGCATGCTCGCATCGCAACATAATTTTTTTAAATTTCCAACTAAATACTGGCCTTGTAGACGCGCAAGTTCGCAAACCAATTTTCAAGCCAAAATTTTTGCGAACTTGCGAACTTTGATTTTTTGATAATGTTGCTAACGATGCGAACTCGTAATGAATCAACTCATTATGAAAGCTTTAGACTTGCAAACTTGCTTGCAGCCTGCATCACTTTGTTTAGTTTTATTCGGATATGGGGCAAACATAAATTGTAAGTAATGCTTCTGTATGTTGTTGCCGTCATGGTGACGTGTTGCATAAATTTAATTTTCATGACATTCAAAGTCTATTTAACTTAGGCGCAAGTCTTATACAAATGCTGTCTGCATTTCTCGCAGGATTCTCCTGGGCTCAATTTGAAGTTGTCCACGCATTTCTTGCCCCATTTGTTGCAGTCATACTGTTGAATTCCGGCCTTCCGACCATTCACGCATCTGTAAATTCCCTCAGGGAGACATTTTTCCACCATGTTGTGCGGTTGCAGCTGGCGACCACAATAATCGAAATATGTCCCAGTTGTATTTATGCCAGGATGACACATGCAGTCAGACAAAACTTCGCCACTGCGAACCTTATCTAGCATCTCAAGCCTTTCTTTGTCCGACAGAGACATAATTCCTTGGAGGTAAATGAACAGTACCAAGATTAGGATTGGAGGAAGTCTCATAATTCTCATAGATTCACAATATTTGCACAAAATCTAATCCGGGAGGGGTTCAATAATAAGATTATATTATAGGATTCAAGAGTGTATTTATTGTTCCATAAATATGAAAGGTACCATGCTTTGAGTACTCACCTATTTCGAATTTATGTAATTCGAATTTGTTTCGAGTAAAACTGCTCACAAGAAGTTATGTTGACTAAAAGGCTATGAAGAGGAATTTAAGAATGACTTAATAATATACGTCGTTTCTATTGTTTTAGGGGCTTCTGGCTGCTCGTGTTTGCATTGTGTGTCTTTATTGTGTACTACATCATCAGACAAGGCATCCAGAGAACAATGGGTCATCCACTTACTGTTGCATTCGAAACTGAAGAAATCAATATTGGAGATGCCAAATACCCACAGGTTGGCATAGGTCCGAATGGTGGCTTGAAATTTTCATCCATTTATGATGCTTGGACGTGAGGGTCTACACTAATTTATCTAATTATGAAGCCATTTTCTATACATATTTATCCAGACGGAATTTATTCCAGTAACTACTGGGATGGACGCGAAAACCAAACGGTACTGGGGAATGATGGGTCCAAATGGAGCAAAAATGATCTTGAGGGGGCAATGAAAGTAATCTACCATACATGTCACCCTGGCACCACATATGCACATGAAAACAACGCTACTATCGCAGAAAATGAAGGCAGAATGTTTGACGAGGACACTGAACTTCAGGAAACTCACTTGGATGATATAAGAAATAATGAGATGAGCAACAGGGTTATTCCCTTCCTCAAGAAGGTAACCTTGATGCTCCATAACTCGATCGAAAGTTTATTTTTACGTAAATTATTATAGGGGATGATAAATTGCTCCGAGATCATCAAAGGATGCCTTCTGAATGGGAAGTCTTATGATTGCACTACATTGTTCAAAGAACATTTTTCTGAATGGGGAAGTACCTGTATTTTCAACGGGATTCCTGCAAAGGCCACACGGCGGTATGGGTTCATTAAAATTTTAATTTCATACTTGTGCACTTATTATGTCAAGTTCGTAACTAGTATTAAATGGTCATAGATATGATACAATTCAATCTGAGCTAGGAGGAAGTACAAAAGAAGAAATTGAAGAGTGGGAGAAAGCCGACTTGGACGAATATGTCATAAATGCTAGGAAACAGAAGCCAAGGAAGAAACGTCCGGCGGTACCTTGGAGACAATTGGCCCCTGGTAAATCGTCTGGATTGACATTTGCCATAAAGGAAGAGCTGGAGGATAAAGCTTGCGTCCACAGTGACGACACTGGGTTCATGATAAATATGTACATCCAACATGCAAATATAATTCGAATAATCGAAGCTATTGTTTCATTGTTTATAGTTGGCGGTAAATAATCCAAGAGATGAGCCACAAATTGAACGATTTGGGACATCATTGCCATATGGAAGAGAAATATATGTTTCTCTATACCCTGAAATCCTTTTGGCTGAGGAAGATGCCAAAGATATTGGCATGGTAAGCAATTCTGCAATTTCTAAAACCTCGAGTACGCCAAATTTAATAACCCAACGTAGGAGAGACGAGGGTGCTACTTCAGCGATGACGGCGGCGATGCTTATTTGGAGTTTTATAAAAAGTATTCCCGACAGAACTGCTTGGAGGAATGCTTCGCTAAGAAAGTTTACGAAAAATGCGAATGTGCTAAAGTTTCTTCCCCAGGTGACTCTTTGCCTATATATTATCTTCAACTTCGTAACTCTCAATTCTATTAAATTTACGTATTTATTGGATTAGGATTCCCTGGCAGGAAGTTGTGTTCGCTTCCAGATGTGAATAGCTGCATCAGAGTGGAAGAAGGTAAAACTTTAATCAAGGCCACACTAGCTTTTATAATATAGCTTCCAACATCACGTATTGTCCTTAGAGCAAATGTACAACGAGGGCTTGAAAACAGCGTGCCCAAAATGCCGTCCGAACTGTCGAGACACAAAATATAGAACATCGGTGACCTGGAGCCGAATGACAGATACCCAAATGAATCGCTATAGAAAAATGTACTATGGCCCAAGTTACACGTACGTCAGGTAAAATATTAGTATACTCAAAACGATCTTTCACTAATTATTTGTATTTATTTAGGGGCAATAAGAACATTACCATATCGGTCGTCAACGTCTACTTTGTAGTGGATTCGGTACACCCAATCCGAAGGAGTGCAAGATATAGTACCTTCGAAGAAGTTGGTGAGGAGTCAAAAATAATTTGAAAATCGTTACAAGAGTTAAAATTACTTTAAAATCCGGCTAGGATTGGTTGGTGGGACAGTTTCCATGATCACTGGCCTAACCTTGTTGGATGAAATCGAATGTTTCGTAGTGATCACGGTAATAATCTTCGCGAAGTACAAGATGGGGAATCTTTGTAGCTGAATAGGAGGCCCTAATTGTAAGTCATTGGCACACTTCTTTACACACTAGTTAGATAGATGGATGGTAAATAATGTCCGCCTGTAAAACAACTTTGGATAATTTGTCATAGGCACCATGGTATATTTTGCATGATAATTGTTTTCAGTTCATTGGAACCCATCGATTCCTGAGTTCTTGAGGCGACGTAATAACAGAGTTGCTCCTGAGGAAATTGAATTGCCAACAATCCAGCCACAAGAGCGACGACCCGTCCAAAGGTCAGCATTATCACGCCCACCTCCATTCCATCCAATGGAAAATTTACCCGGATTTACACCGTAAGATTTTAACCCGACATTAACTGAAAAGAAAATGGAAGGTCTTCTTTCTATAGTTAACGGGTTAATCCAGCCCAGTTGGTGATCAAAATAATTTATTAATTAAAACGCTTTTCGCTGATGCAGAAAATGAATTTTGATAAGAGGAGTATGTCACAATATCAATGCACGATCCACTTCCAACAAAACCAGCTTAACTTTGCTTACGGTTGTAAAAAATTTAATGAATACCAGCAACACAGAGTTGTGTTGTTCCTAAATATCATGGGGAAGGTGACGCAGTTACATTTATTTTAGTCTGACATAATAATTTAGCAGAAGGTAAAGACGAATCTTACGACATTTAATAATTTCTGACTCTAAAATATTTTAAAATAGGTTGAAGATATAATCAAATACATTGCTATTTCATCATATGTAAGACGTACTTTGTAATTGATTAATTTTTAACCTTAATTAGCAAGCAATCACAAACTTAAAACCGAGATACTGATACTGTATTGCAACCTGACTATTTTATTGAATACATTTAATACAAATCCACCTTTCAAAAATCGTTTTCCATTCATCCAATCGTATGAAAAATTTCTCGATAAGCGCTTGCCTTAAAGTTCTTAGGAAATATTTGGATATTCTCGTAAAAACAGTAATTTTATGCTAGAAATATCTTTACTCAGTAAAATAATCATTAGTAACCACATGTTCCTTAAAGTATTTATGTGATACCTGCACTTTCTGCAGGTTTTATCCTGTAGAAACATATTTCAGGCTTAATCTATATAATTGATCAACTTATAAAAAATTAGCTCAGTCAGTGAGGTAATATTTACATGCCTGCCAGAGATTTCCACATGCTTAAATATTTAAAACATGAAAGATGCATAGCATAATTATAATAATTACTATAGATACCTGTAATTTTTATTTACGTGATGAATGCAGCCAAATATACACAACGTCGCCTTTAAAAATTAAAGTTTAAAAAATTAGCGTTAGTCTTAATCCGTTCGGAACACGTACATATTTAAATTATTACGTAAATGACACAATTGGAGTAATCGCTTTGATCTGATGCAGACAGACAATATTTTATAAGATGATTATATCACAATATCAATGCACGATCCACTTCCAGCTAAACCGGCTTAAACTTGCTTGCGGTTGTAAAAAATTGAATGAATACCAGCAACACAGAGTTTCATTGTTCCTAAATATTATGGAGGAAGTGACGCAGGTACTTTTGTTTTATGTTGACTTAAAAATTTGTACGGAGGAAATATAGAATCTTACAATATTTTGGAATTTCTGGGTTTAAAATCTTCAAAATATTATAAAATATGGTGCACAAGTAATTACCTTGATATTTTATCCTAGGTATATCGTCATTGATTAATTTTTAATCGTAATTATCCAACACAACGAACAACTTCAAACCGAAATACTGCTGCCTGACGTTTTATTGAATACCAGGATACGCCAGGTTTACGTTTCCAACAATCGTTATCCATTCATCGTGTCTTATACAAAATTTATCGACAAGGGCTTACCTGAAAGTGCTAATTTGTATTAAGATCTTCTCTTTAGAATTGCTAGGCTAACAATGCACTTGCTAGGTATAAATTATGGATAATAATGGCATTTCGCTTAAAATATCACCTGCACCATGTGCATCTTTTATCCGTTAGGAACAAAGATGAGCCTTAATCTATCTAATTGCTCAACTTATAAATAAGGTAGCTCAGTCAGTGGGATAATATTTACATGCCTTCCAGAGATTGCTACTTGCTTACATATTCAAATATACAAAAATGCATTGCATAATTATAATAATTACTACAATATTTACTATAGATATATGTAATTGTTATTTACGTAATGTATGTAGTTTATCGACATCGACATGACTACAGTTGCTTGGTCAAAATTCAATTAAAAAATAAAATTAAACCAACTTACGACGTAACTTATAATTACATATATAATTATACATAAGTCGACTTAAGTAGTATCCTTGACACATAACTAATAAATTACGTCTTACGTCACCATTTTAAGTCATAAGTTATATGTCCATGGTTGCCCCAAGTATCTAATATGCACAAGGTCACCTTTAAAAATTAAAAGTTAAAAAATTTCCGTTAGTTTTAACCCGTTCAGAACGTAAATTAATTAATACGCAATAATAAAATACTAGTTTAATGCTAAATTATTACGCAAATGGCACAATTGGATTAAGCCACTTCTAATTTTGTAGTGGCACTTGAAAAAACTTACTTTAAATCGCATTCCAAATAAGTATTTATTTATTGAAAACTTAATTTCCTATTGCATTTCTAATTTGATATTGCACTAATCTAGAATGACTTGGACACCATGGTATTCATATCTGTGATGGTAAGGTTCATTTCATTATATGGAAATCTTCATTTTGATAATTTGGTGGGCTTGTTTACACGCAAATACATATATGTGTATAAATTGATCATACTGATTATGTTGATATTCCAATCTAAATAAGCTAGCTTGAGAAATAGTCAAATAAATCATTCGACCAATTACTTGCGCAAACCAATTAGCTAAACAGAGTCACTTCTAAATCTTTAATAATTATTTGCATACATCTGTACATACAAATTTATACGTACATATGATGTGAATACATAGTATTCATCCACGCATTAAATTCTTTACAAAATTCAAATAATTCATCAGCTGCGTGAATTATGGGATACCTTGTTAAGTATAAAAACGCATAAGAGTACGACATCATTAACATAATTCAACTATTTATTAAGTACTGAACTTTTTACTGTTAAATATGTATTTATACATACATTTGTCAATTTTAATAAATAACGAGTTATTTTTCTTGTTCATTTATGATACCGCTTTTTTCAATTGATTTCTGCGGCTCACTTATTCCCGCTACTCATGATTAAACAATCGATTTTGTAATTTAGGCGAACGATAATTATAGTCTGACAACGAGCGGTCTGGATCCTAACAACATCCGTTGTCACACATTTCACCCTTGCCAAATTCGCCATGCTCCTCGCATTGGTGTTCTTCATTATATCTGCGTAATATGTAAATGCCGGGGTAAGAAATTTCAACAATTTTAACTAAACATTTTTTAATGCAAATTAGCTCGTTTTTTTTAATAGTAACCAAGGCGATGCACAGTAGTTATGGAAAAAAATACTATGTAGTTATGCACAAAATTACAAGTGGGTGGCAGCTGTTATACTTTAATCCCCTCTTGCTTAAGTTTTATGAAGGAATGAAAATTTGCACATACACGAGATTACAAATGTACACTGATTTATTTAGAAAAGAAATTTGAATATTTATATCTTGAACAAACTTGAATTTAGCCTTAAAGAAACACTGCTTAACTGAATAAAGGACCTAATATATATAACTAAACAAAAAAAGGAAACTATTTTGTATTTCACTATGATTTAGTTTACGAAGTCTATTTCAGAAAATAGTCAATTTGTCAGTAAACAGAATTCCACTGAAATATCCGAGTTCGGAGCAAAGAGATTCTCCGATTTAGCAGAGGTTTTCGGTGGATAAGCTCACCGAGAAGACGAAAGAAGTTTTGGAGGAAAAAGCTCTCCAAGAACTGTCCAATTTTTCTGTCGCAGGGCTTTCTATACCCGATTTTTACATGAAAGATATATATCTTGGACATGCCTTTCCCCTTATACATATATTATACAATATTGTAGATTTAAGAAATACGTAACTTTTTGTAAACAATATGTAACCTAAAAAGGTGGTACACAATATCTAAGAGTGCAATTGACAAAGGGTCATTTTATGACTTGCCTAAGTAAGCTAAAGTGATCCTTAACAGATTTATCTCCTTTTGTGATCTGTCTCAGCACCCTTGCCCAGTTACCCAATAACTTCACACTATATGTAACAGGAGCTATTGCTGTAATTCTGTGCATATTTGCAATTATTCCTCTCATATTTCTTATTTTTTATCATTTCCAGTGACCCGCCAACGCATCGCAACCACTAAAAAAAATACCAGTTTCCCAAACTCTTAAAAAATTTAATTAAAAAAAAAAATTGTCACCTCGCAGCACCTGGCTTAATTCTTTCCATAACTACTCTTAATCGCCTTGATAGTAACATTTCCCCGTAGAATGTCGCACCTATTGCCTCGTAGAGATAGGGCACAGTTACGGTCAGATTTACAGGCGCCAAGTACGCTACTTTATCTTACTATGTGACAAACCAGGCTTGTTTTTAGATTTGGCGCCCATCTTCCACCTTGATATTGTCCCGGTCTTTTGTTAAATAATAAGGGTCAATTGTTACTAAATTATTGCGACGTAACATAATTATAGTGCTGCAACTGGTTTAATGATTAAAACTTCATCCTACAAGGTAGCACTTCCGTATAAGTAATTAATCAAAAATTGTTGGTAATCGATGGTAGGGAAATAATTGTAGGGATTGAACTCTTTCGGGTGTCTGTGACCAGTTACAATTATATGCGAAGACGGGGTTATTTTTCAATAGTGGATTCCGATTGGGTGCGGGAACACTTTGAAATTTGGAGTAAGATTGGCACAGATAAAAATGTTGTTGGATATTTATAAAGTTTCGATGAACTTACTAACTCTAAAGTTATGACTAGAACGGTCCAAACGGTTCGAAATGGGGACATTTTGCAGAGCATTTTGTATTGCTTAGCACCCTACCAAGTGAAGTAAAACAATGGTGGAATACGAACCCTTTGCAGAAATACGCAAACATAAATGGGATAAATATGTATTGTAGCGTAAAATCCATACATCCGGTCACCTAGCAGGTGACCGGATTCCTACAAATTGTAGGTGTCACCTACAATTTGTAGGATTTATGTTATGTAGGTGCGCTGATATATATACGTGAAATAGACATTTTTCCACAGGAGCACATTTATACAATGTGGAACAAAAGTTATATAATGATTTCGGCTCGTTGTATCTCATAAATTTGTTAAAGCCATAAATACATATACATATATGACATGTGCGATTGTCATAGGACAAGGATAATCAAAACAAGATGCCCCTCCTATTTCATCAGGGTCAAAGGTCATACATATCCTGTTTTTTGGTAGCTCTGTTCGAACAAATACTGAAACTCAAGCCTTACCTGTTTTTGCATCATGTTGGGATATTCTACGATTATACAGAACTACACACCCCACCAAAATTTGCTTCTTGAATGCGGGTAAAGATTGAATGACCTTTCTACAAATCATTTTTTCAGAAGTTCTGTATGTGTAAGCTCGAAAGCAGTTGTCTCGTATATGGGTGGATATGTATGTACTGAAGTCACTGGATATATTTACTAAAAAATTAAGGGTTCACATTTCACTTTTCAATTAACAAATTTTTTTATTAAAACACAAGATATTACACAAATGAATTTTATAAGTAAAGCAAATTTTAAACGCAGCGAATTTAGTATACAAAAAATACATAAAAGAATCTTCGTGGCATAAGGTTCATATTCTTTATTTGTCAATTTTGAAGTTGTAAATAATTTCAGATTTTCCAACTTGATCCAGTTAATGGATTTCATTTATGACTTTCGGCGCACTAACCATTATTTGGCCAGGGCGCCTGTGTCCAGGGCGCCTATGGACAGGACGTCTGTGGCCAGGACGTCTGTGGCGTAGCACACCTCCTTGCAAACCCCCTTCAATTCCATAGTTTCCTGCAAAAACAATTGATTTATTGAACAACTGATATGTTGTAAACCATGTCGTGAAATTTATTTTTTTCATGATACTCCTTCATTTAGATATTTACTTTACTGTACCCTGTATAACTTCAGTCTTCGCGATAATTATATCATGATTTCCATCGGAGACGTTGACCAGACTAATCACGAGGATAAGAAGAGTTACTTCCAACAGTGTAGAATGTTTGGAAAACATTGCGGAAATTTGTTTACATAATTTGACAGGCATTTTTCGAACAAATTAATTTGTTCTAATGTTTCTTCGTAGAAGTCTTTCGACTATTTGTATCCGTATAGTACTTTTCTCCCAGAGTTCTAAGCAGAATCCACAATTTCAAGGTATACTTTTAAAGATGAATAAAGGATTGTAATGCAAATTGGTGTTTATGACGTTTTAAATGAGACACGAATTGTGATGGAAATTACAAATAAATATGTATTTAAAACTTAAATGTGTGCACGTGGAATAAAATGCAATTCAATGAGATTATTTTTTTGTGTCGCGAAATTGTAATTTTTGTGAATAGATAATTCAGAGAATGAATTATGTATTTAGTTATTAACAATTTATTAACATCGCATCATTGACGTATTCACATTTCATCTTTTATTTGGCTGACTGGCTTCTAGATAATTGACCATATTGTGCATTATTTTTTTATTCGAAATTTGTCCTTCAAAATTTGACATGATAATGCATCATGATTATGATTAGCTTTGCACGCTGAACTTTTAATGTATTACTCATAATTGTACTGATTAATTATTTCTCATTACTCGTGTTATTAAGCGTCGTGCTAAATCTTGTGCAATAATTACACATGTACTCTAAAATTATTGTTGCGGGTCACCTCATTTGTATAAATCTCATGATACCCATTTCGGCGATACGGGGTTTCAATGTTAAGTAAACTCTATGTCTCTCGCGAATGCATCAAAATATGCAAATGAGGTGACTAGCAGAAAAAATTCTACTACAAATGTGTCACTTATTCTTTAGAAAACACCACATTAATAAAGTTAAGAATTATAAATATGCAAATATGTATGTTCTCAATTAAAATGTTGTATCTTCAAACATAATTCATGAATAGGTATGCATGTATGTACATACTACATACGCTGAACGCATGCTTACATATATGCATCGCATAAATCCCAAAAATCGGTATTCAGATTCAAATTAGTCCTGATTCAGGTGGATTCGAATCCAAAGCTGAAAGGATTCTGATACCTTTCAGCCGGATGAATCCGGAAAAACTGGACCGAATGCGAACAAAACCCCCAATGATGAAAGATGAATGATGAAAAATGATGAATGGTGAAAATTTAAAGTGAATAGTTAAATCGAATCCAGTTTGACTAATTATTTTAGTTAAATCTTATTAATGGATTGGTAACATCCGTGCTCCTAGATTAAAATTCATCTGGATCAAGATTCATGTAGATTCGAACCCGTCTTCCCTGAATTCGGATTCAGCCTGAATCCTTCCTACCGAGATTCCAATTCAAATTCGAGATTGGAATCTGAATCATGATTCAGATTCGTGCTATGCTCTAAATCATATGTACAAAAGTTTGGAAAACATCACAAATCTTTTATGCCCGTTTGTATGCAAATTACCGAAGCATTTACTTTAAAACTATCGGATGGAGATTATTTTTTCCTATGCTGAATAAAATCCACACTACCATAACAAATGTTCACAGTAATGGAGTCAATTATTCGATGATGAAAAGACAACTTGGTGGATTTCCTTTGTGTAAAAAAATTATATATTTTAATGAACAGGTGTTTCATAATTCACCACAATTCACACGCAAATATTTAAATGATTCGTGCATTTAATTGTGTTGAACAAAATGAAATATGTGTTTACTCTGATGGGTAAATATATTTTGGTTATCATTTATATATTAACGTGTTGGCAATGTTGCCGAGTTGCCAATGCCAACCAAATGATAATAACTTTCTACCCAGTTTACCCAACTTTTATCTATCTATTTCTCCATAATATGTCTTCCGATCATGTGCCTAAACAAATTTGAAAATTTTTCTCCGCAGAAGTAACACGAGGGCTTACCAACATGTCGCCGCTGGTGCGACGCTAATTATATTTCGAGTGACTCCTATACTCGCACTTATTCTAAGAATAAATCAATTCCTTGTCGGCGGGTAGCCCGACCACGTGACGTTTTAAATCTCTCGCAGCCGCGAACTTCTTGTCACAAAATGTGCACGCTTAATTGCGCTTATTTTCGTGTACATTTCGGATATGGAAAAGCAACCATGATTTACTTAGGAATAACCGGGGGCATAGATTGCATGGAAATTTGGGACGCGCCGATTTTCCTAGATGAGTTAGCTGTAACATTAATTAATCAATATTTGCAACATTTGCATAGTATTTAAATTTTGTGTCACGTGACATCACGAACCTTATGGTCCTTCAAAGTCCCCGTTCCCGCGCAACTTTTCCAGCAAATGGAACACGTGCAAGTCATCTCCGTCGTATGGGTGGCAATGTGACGTTCAAGTATGCACCTCGACTTAAATTCTTTCCCGCATAGGTTTCTCTAGAATGGGTCAAAATATACGAATGAGGTGACTAGCCGAAAAAATTATAGAGTATACATACACATATACTTTACATATGTAAATATGTACATACTCTATATTTTTTTCGGCTTGTCACCTCATTTTCATTACCATATTTTGACTTTCCTTTTTTGTTTTAGGCCTGCATACAAGGCGACGCTTGTTTATATGTATAAGATTATCCATGCAAGCCTATAATAAATGGACGACGTATGTACAACATGCTAAATCCAAACTGAACCTTACTCATACATAACTAACGATGAATAGTTGGACACAATTTTACAAAGTTTGACTACCTGGAAAGGTTGCTTTCTGAAGAGAAGACGCGCATATTCATATGTTCATATGTGCAGGGTGAACACTACATGTGGTCATTCATGCCACTACTATTGTTGAATTTGGTGTAAGTATAGTAATGAGTAAACTTAGTATAAAGTATAGTAACGAGTAAACTAAGTATAAAGTATAGTAATGTTGAACTAAGTGTAAGTATAGTAATGCTTAAGTATAGTTGCACAGTTATATAGTAAGTGAGTTGTAGAGTGGTGTCCCTGTTCTACTGTGCTGTGCTGTGCTGTGCTGTGCAGTCCACAGTGGTGGTGGCGGTAGACAAAAGTGACCCAACCCAACCAACCAACTGTGCTGTGCTGTGCTGTGCTGTGCAGTCCACAGTGGTGGTGGCGGTAGACAAAAGTGACCCAACCCAACCAACCAACTGTGCTGTGCGGTGCTGTGCTGTGCAGTCCACAGTGGTGGTGGCGGTAGACAAAAGTGACCCAACCCAACCAACCAACTGTGCTGTGCTGTGCTGTGCTGTGCTGTGCAGTCCACAGTGGTGGTGGCAGAAGACAAGACCAACCCAACCAACCAACTGTGCTGTGCTGTGCTGTGCTGTGCAGTCCACAGTGGTGGTGGCAGAAGACAAGAGTGACCCAACCATCCAACTGTGCTGTGCTGTGCTGTGCTGTGCCGTGCACAGTACTGGTGGATGTAGTCAGTAGTGACAATGTCGTGACTGTCTGTGCTGTGCTGTGCTGTGCTGTGCTCACACATCACACACCGAGTGACACCCCGAAGTTAAGGTCCTGGCTGCACCATCCATATAATATAACCGAAGACACCCCATCGGCAGCACCTCAGCAAAGACACACCACCAGTTACACGCCCCAGTTAGTTATAGTTAGTGTGTATACTAGGTGTGTTAAGTATTAGTCACCAATCAACTCCTTGTTGCACCATTGAGCTCTGAATTGTGTGTTTGGAAATAAAATCCAGTTTAAGTACATTAAAGTTTGAAGATAAAAGTCACTTCTTTACACCCTTGGCCCAACACAGTCAACTTCGGCGATCGCTAATCGACGGGTAGTTGGTTAGGACGTGATCCCAGTGGGAATCTCGAGTAGACCCAACAACTATATATCTGTAATATAAAATATATTAGTAGTTCCATACATACATACATACATACATACATACTTTAATGAAGATTTACATTATTCCTTAGTAAAAACATAAGGATATAGATTTATTTTGAGCCCCAGAAAAAGGTCATAATCATTGAGGACAGTTGAACTTTAATGACCTATGTATCCTCAAATTTCTCCATACACCTCGGTAGGGACAGGGTGTCATAATTTGCATGCTTTTAAAAGATGTGAATATTCTGATTTCCGCAGAAAATATGCCACAAATGGAAAAAACATCAAAATATGTCTGTGCGGGACAAATACAGCCCCAGTCCACCTCTGGTAACTAATCCTCCCACATATTTATGCACATTTTAGTAATATCGTGAATGCAAACTAGAAATTATATTAGAGAATTTCTTAAAATTGCAACAAATTAACAATTGTGCAAATCAGGTATAATTTTAATTAAAAGCTGTGAACCGTAATCCAAGAAAAATATCCTTTGTAACATTACGTGTTTTTAACTCATTTCATACATAACTAAAATTGTAAGAAATTTCCAGGGACGAATAAATCTTGTATATTTACTTCATTTTGTATAACTTAAAACTTTTTCGATAAATTGAAAGTATCTTAACTTTGTATCTTATCTTAAAGTAAATTTTGAGTATCTTAAGGAAAGTATCTTGAAGATACATTTCAATGTATCTTGCTTACCCTTGGTGACTATATGCATACACGCGATAGAGATTTTATTAAAAACTTCTACGATTGTTTGCCTGCCCAAGTTTGTCCTGGAGATTGTGATTTCCCGGTATTAAACTTGCCACTGGTTGGTATAAAAATTTTACAATAGATAAATGAGCATGTGTTACCCCTATAAAAAGTCTTTATCACCGGACTATCCCCATGCTGTATTACTTATCAATGATAAGTCATGACTACAACTTCTGTATAACTTTCAAAATCATTACATACATTTGCATTTGTTTTTAGTTTAAGAATACCGCACGACATTATTTTATTACTGGATTTCAAAGAGTATAAGTACACCCTAAACAAAATTATGTCAGACAGTGTAACCTACCCGTATTGGTTAGCATTTTATTTCCGCACGGCGTAGTAACATTTCCATATGGTTGAAAAGTTATCACCATTAGTAATAAAATTATTACCATGTGGAATTAAAAAGTATAACCAGTTCGGTTAAGTCACATGGTGACACCGCGCGGTGTTAATCGTTAAAATTGTATTTTCAGTGTAAATATGCTAATCATGCAAAAATGTTGGTCTCGCAAGTTACAAAATACAGATATTTTCGTCCGGCAGAATCCCAGCAACATAAATACATCCGCACTTTCCTACTTATCAATAATCATTCTTAAATCAATGGGTTTAATGTAACTTAGTACTTTTGAATGCACATAAACGTCCTTCTTGGAAAGCGGGATTAGCCAAACTTATCAGTATTTACTAAACTGAGGACGTGTTCACGCTGTTCCCAATTGATATATATGCGTCAACAGTAGGCTTATCTTATCTGGGGCCGGCTACTGTGCCCGACCTACTTTTATTCGTACGTTGTGTTTACTTATTTATGTACCAGTCGATAAATATGCAGATACGTATGTGCAAAGGGAAATGTTTGAATGAGACAATACTTTTTCAAGAAATAAATTATTAGTTGGATAGACGTGTTTTGTCATAGTACAAGTTCGTTCACCGAGAAATTTCCGAACTTAAGGTTTATACAGCACTAAATTGGACATTTCTTAAATTCATGGCATTTGATATCGTGCAGGGTGACTGCGCAAGAAAATAATCATCCTGACAAATCACTATATATCGAAATAGTAAACAACAATTCATCTCTTCTCAATTTTTAAAACATTGAGTGGAGTACATAAATAATTATATACTCGGCGATCGTGTTTGTAAAGGGTTAGTTGTACATATATAATTTCATATCGGATGGACAACGAGAAAGCTTACTTTTCGGATTTTTGTTAATTCAAAACTTGAAAAAAAATATATAAACTCCAAAAGTTTCCAAAATATTTTTTAAAATTAAACATTTCTTTAATCCTTTGCATCGATGATTTCTATTTTTTATGTCGCATCAGCATGATAAAAGTTATTCCTAGTTGACAAAAAAACCCAAGCTTTCCACTTAAATATAGCCTGAAAATTCTGCCACGCAAATAGTCTATTCCGTGGGGTAAGCTAAATCTAGTAACACTGGTTTCCCAGCCTTTGTCCAGACAACAAATTGGATTTGTCCGTTTAAAATCGTCTCACATTAGCCATTAAAACCATTGCCTTTTGACAATCCATAACATGATTTTTAATAATTATTGCGAAATATTTTCATAACTATTCTGCAATTAAGATTCCCAGCAAAGTTCTACTTGGTACGCCCAGTGACATTTAGATATCGTCACTGAAGGGTGGGAAGGGCGAATCGTAGTATGTAATCGGTGTGCAAACAGTAAACCGAATTGTTTACCTCGAAGAATTTTATATTTAGAATATGTGCTATATTTCGGTGTATTACATTCTGCGAGGTTGGTCCTTTTCCTATTGAGGCTACAGTACGATTCGCCATTTCATCAAGGATACGTGGAATCGACAATGGGAACAAGTCAAACTATTCGTACGTTCAAACTCTACGAAGACGCATTTTACAAATGCAACTGGGATGGTAGCGGAGCATGTAAAGCATTTCAAATCAGTGGAGAGCAATGTCTTAACCTTGACGACTATAATGACAAAGTGTCCTCAATTGACACGCTAGGAAATTGTATGATGATTTGGGAACATCCCCATTGCACGGGAGATTCAGTAGAAATTGGGCCTCTAACTATGTATAACACGGATCTCCGTGGTCTCAAAATGAGCGATGGAAGGAATTGGGATGACCAGATGTCTTCCATTAGTGTTTCCCCGAGATTGTGTTGCTCAGGTTATTTCGAATGCCGGAATTACGTCTGTATCAAACCTGACTGGGTTTGCGACGGCCAAGATGATTGCTCTGATGGGGAAGACGAAATACATTGTAATCGAGTAGCTAGTGTAAAAATCGATCACCGTCCAATCAAATCAACAAAACAAATTATTGAGGGCGATGGAGTTAGGTCGCAAGCACATGTAAGTCTGAATAAGCTCTGATACATACGCTTTTTACGCTTTATACATGGGCCCGAGCCAGAGTTTTGTTAAGAAGTTAAGCAACAAAATAATTTCTAGAGGGTTGTTCACATAAATAAATTCATATATGTATGACCGCTCCCATCTGGTGACTAACATTAGTCTGTTGTTTACGAAACAGATAAACGTGCCAGTTCTGTAAGGCCTGGCTCGGGAATGACAAAATGATTATGTATACATACTGATTATACCAATTGATGTAATTATACATACAAACATGTGTAACATCATATTATTTTTTATCGCATTTATGACAAATGTTATAAATTTTCCGATTAGGACGGACGAAGTACGATACCCGTTAGGAACTGCTCAACCAAAGAAACGTACTGCCATCGAGATGCTAAATGTATTCAAATAAATGAGACCTGTCGCGAAACAGAACTTCAAGTCCATGGTAAAAATTCTTATTTTACGCAATTAAAATCGCGTACTTTTGTGATTCCTTACAATGATTTCAACAGTTCTCCATTTCATTAAATATGTGCATACATATATATTTGTAATACGTAGATGGCGTTGGTACATCGTCAGCACCGGATAAGACGGAGATCAACCGAATTTTCGTCACTAGTGCCATAGTACTTTTAGTGATTCTTCTATTTTCTCTTATAATCTTCATGAGACAAAGGAAAAACAGGAACGCCTCTACTACGAGAACGCCAGGTATATAATGATTACACATGCATACATATATCAGTATGAATATCGCAGCGTATGCCATGTAAATATTGCATACCCTGCGAAACCATGTTTACAGTTTGGGAACAATAACATTGAAAAATTGCAAGAGTTAATAAGGATAGAAAAATCGTATTATTATTGCAAAATTGGACCCCTTCTCCTAACGGTTCCGCAGCGTCTAAATTCTTAAGCGTAATGTAAAAAAAAGTTTAACTACAAAAAATGATCTTCTCTTCAATTCTCCAAATACAGGCATCATACTGCAACCCAGAAATTCACACGAAATGCAGCCCTTCTTCCCCCAACCCCGCTCTGAATCAATCTTTCCTTTACCGCCCCCTTGGAAGACTAACCCCTCCTTAATCTGCCTTTCCCCCCTGGGCGAAGGATTTTTCGGAAAAGTGTACCAAGTCGAAGATCAAAGCGCAATTGTCCCCCCAACCGAATATGCCATCAAGTGTATCGACATGGTAAAAAAGCTCAAAAGCTGCAGCCCATCTTACACCACATCCGGCGAGGAAAGCAGTCGTACCAGGCAAAACTGTATGACCACTTTGCTCAACGAAATGCAAATCATGGACCAGCTTTCCTGTGACCATGTCGTCCGTTATTATGGTTGCTGGGCAGAGGCGGAAGACTGTAGTCAGCTGCTCTTAACAAAGTCCCGTTTGGAGAAATATATCCGCGAGGTAATCGAGCATTGCAATAGTTCTGCGTCTTACATCCCAAGTTCACCCTTGAGTCATATTTTCATCCGAATGGAACTTTGTAACATCACGTTGAAAAAATACTTGGAGGTTTTCCGATGGCGAGATGAGCTCGGAATTGTTACACAAATCGCGGCCGGACTTCTCTACGTGCATAGAAAAGGGTACATTCACCGCGATATTAAACCAGGAAACATATTTTGTAAGGTAGAATCGGGTGGAAAGTCGACCTGGAAAGTTGGCGACTTTGGTTTGACGGTGATGAGCAGCGAAGTTGGAAATTCTGGGGTGGCAGGGACATATCTTTATCAAAGTCCAGAAATGAGGAATGAGTTGAGTTACACGGATAGAACGGATTTGTACAGTTTGGGGTTAGTAGGGGCTGAGATATTACATGGGATTAGAAAGAATTTTAATAGAAATGATGTTTTCGCTCACTTGCGAAAATTAGGGGGCACTGAGAGACGAAATTATTTGAATTCTTGTTATGCAGGAAAGTATAAAAAATTGATTTGTATTATTAACCAGTTGCTTAATGTACAAATGGTCGTCCTTGTTCAGAGAAGTTGTACAACCTGTTGAGTAGCATAAATTCAAAAGACGCGCCAGTCTTAGTGTGACTAGTCATGCGTCCCCTCCTCTGTAGGAATCGTACCATCGGTGAATTAATCTCCACGAACATATGATCGGTCATTTTCAGATTAGATGTAAATAAAGCTGCTTCGCTGAAGCACAGTACAAAGTGTTTCAGAAAAGTAGATTGGTACGTCACCATCATCTGTGAATGATTTAAAAATTCGAATTACAATATTTCAAGCACCAGCGCCCAATTTCACTTCATTGTAAATAAAAAATAATCCATATTCCTCCCAATCAGCGTTGGAACTCCTACATAAAGAAGAACGACAATTTGTAACAATATTTATAACAGAGGAATATAGGTAATTCATACAAATATGTATTCATGTTTAAAATACCAGACTTGGGCAGATTACTTTTAATCTGATTACATTGTTCCAAAAATGTAATTCTGTAATTCGTTAAGATTTTTAAGTAATCTGTAATCTTACTTAGATTAAGTTTGTTATCGAAATGTAATTCGATTACAGCCAGATTACAGATTACATTTTTGAATTATGTAGGAACGATGGGCCACTATTAGCGCTCTCCATCAACCCGCAATTTTGAAAAAATTATTCGTATTTATGGCTCGTAGAAAATTATTCTTAAACCTTACAATTTAAAAATCATGTCTTCAAGTTAGATGTTTCCAAGCAATAAAAATGTATCACTTACCATTATTCGGGATGGGCCCTTTTTTAGTTTGACTCAAGTGGACGAAAATAAAGTGACGCCAAGTGTCAACAAATTTGCAGTAATAATTATGACACAGCGACATGGGTTAAGGCTCACTCATTTCCTATTTCACTCAAACTAATTTCTTCGAAAATAAAGAATCTATTTTTTAAATAGCAAGCGTTTGTAGTACCAAAAATTAATTTTACATTAAAAAAAGAAAAATTGCATTCATCTTAAAACCGATGAAATTTAACGATTTTAGAAATTTCCATGTAAACACATTGGATAGGGGCAGCGTGATAAGAAAACTCAATGACACTCGGTTTATTGAATGTAAACAATTATTGGCCCATATAACTCGCATAGATAAACTCGAGATATAGGTTTTTGTTGCATGTATGTCATGGGTTAGATTGGAAATTAGCTGACAGTAAAGTCGATATTACATAACGAGAAGATAATAATAATTTGTCCAGTTTCGTTCAAAAATTCATTTATCAAATAATCTGTAATCTAAATTTTAATCGGATTATTAATCTGTAATCTGGGGAGACCTGCAGTAATCTAATCCAAAAAGTAATTAATTATTGTAAATTCGATAACTTGTAATCTTGTTTGTTTGTTGTTTATTGTTTATTAAAATGTCGCGGATCATCAGTTTACACTGCTTTTCAGATCAAGACACAAAAAAATAAGATTTGGCTACATACTAGGTTATTGACTTATAACTATGAATAACCGTAGGATAATGTAAATTATGTTTAATGTAAAACAGTAAAACATGAACATGTTATTTGGTGACCAATTCCCGTACTACGGCTTGGAATCGAGAGTATGTCAGCTCCCTTATATTCCAATCTCTCGGGAGACTATTCTAGATTTTGTCCCGACGATAAACAATCGATCGTTTGAAAGTCTCAGTTCTGTGAATAGGAGCACAAATGTTGGGACGATTTGCACCACTAGTTCTTTCATAAAAACATGACTTCTCATCAATGTTGAGTTTATAAGCGTTCTTAAGAGTAACATATGTAATTTGATCGTTCTTCAATCGTTAGCAAATTACTAACTAAAAAACTTCTCTGATCTGCTTGACATCTAACTTGTCTCTCAGGCTTTTAAGAGATGTACTTTTTTTCCGTTTCTTGGCTAATCTGGGGAAGTAATAACTGGACAAAAAATTGTCTATGATTTTTTGAATTTTGGAAAGCAAAGTTGGTGTGTGTACAGTCCACAGGTCCATACAATAATCAATAATTGAATGCACTTGTGTGTTTAATTTTGTGTTGACGATAACACGAATTGCCTATTCACCAATAACCCGTTTTAATCCATGTAGGAATTTCGAGTGCAAAAAAACTGCTTACTTGACCAACTGTAATCTGCCCAGTATGTAAAATACTTCTAAAATGATATAATAAATTAAGTAGTAATATTAATAGTAGTAATATAGCGTAAGGGGCGCGCGGAGTACAGAGAAACATATTGACAAGTAACAAATATCGGTGGGTTACCATCACCATTCTAGTAAGAATCAACAATTTTTCATGTCGTACAGAAACGCTAATACTTAGATATAAACCTTTAAAAACATGACACTACGGGTTTATTTAGTACACTCGAAACCAAATTAGGTGATGCGGTGTCACTATGTGACCTAACCGTAGTGGTTAGGATTTTATTACCGCACAGTGTAGTCATATTAACATATTGTTTAAACATTATAACCATGGTAAGTAAAATTATTACCATGCGGTATCAAAAATTATAACCAGGTCGGTTAACTCGCATACTGACACAGCGCAGTGATAGTTGTTAAAAATTTATTTTCAGTTTAGCTATCACTCCGGTGAACTCATGTATTTATGTAAGCACGGTGTACATTAAGGTCTGCTAGATTGTTAATATGTACAAATACAGTGAAGCCCAAAATTTATATTATAGTGATACATGTATACATATGTACACTAGAGTTCATTTACATACATATACTTGTTTAGAATCGTTGTATAAATTGTGTTAAAAACTAAAGACTAGTTGAGTTAGCAACATCCGTCAATGCAAACAACCAAACATAGCTGCACCCTGACAATAATTTTACTTAGAATTTGTTCAATTGTATGCATATGTATGTATGTACATATGTAAATGTTCGATCGTTTACGTGGATCATTAAATTTTCACATCAAACCGAAGCATGATATATATTCGTAATGGTAAATGCTCTTACATTTGTGGTCTCCACAAATCCATGCAAAATTACAATACGTATATTTACATGAATGCATATTATCAGAAATTATTCATCGATACATGTTTATGTTTAATGCCCAACTTCCCGTCCAAGCAGTTGTTCATAAATTATGAGTCACAATACATATTGTCTCGGCTGTGCAAACTTATGCATACACTCGGAAAAATCAAATTAAAAAAGAATCTGTAATTGGAAAATTTAAAAAAAAGTGTTAAAGTTTTTCCCTAAAAAATTGTCGGTATACTGCATTACTCTTGGAAATCTTGTAATAAAACAGTCTAAACGGTTACCACCATCCAGTCGTATCTACATCTATGACCATATCAGATCAAACTAACTTTTAGCAGTGGGAAACGTTTAGTTCCGAAAGGGCACAAACCCAAGACAAAAAATTGTGACTTGTTGAGACTGTGCAAAATTATTTACAAGATGCCGCCCTCTTGCCTTACGAGGCATCCCGAAATTCCATCCCTATCCACATTCGATGCTCTCCAACGTATATTTACACTCACTGAAAAATTGTATCCACAGTGCATAACGTGGAATCGAAATACATGGCGGGCATCTAAAACCGTTCCAGATTCAAGATTAATTCCATGGTATTTATTGTCCCTCCTTGTCGCCGTGCAAGGAAGTTACTTCCTCTGTATAATCTGCCACGAAATTATCGCGTTTCATAAAGATCCCGATATTACACTCGCATCAGGAGCCGTGCTTCTGCTATCTGCTTCTGCGGAGATTTTGACAACAAGCGTGGTCAGCACTTTTATCTGGAAAAGCAACGAATTATGCTTCGTGTGGGACAACGTGAAACGAATTAACCCGCCCGTCCTCATCAGTAATGGTACATAATTTTTATACATTTTCATTTGCATTATTCCTTCCGTAAAATCAGGATTGATTGTATAAAAAATTGAAAAGCTTACTGTTATGCATTAAGTGGCAACAAACTAATCTCGAATAAAATTTTCCGAGGAATTGAGCCTTTTAATATTAGCTGAACAGCATGTACATGTGTAAGTACATACATAGAGGTGCCATCAGTTCTATTAGAAGTTGAAAGGTGTGCAGCAACTAAAATTTATTCGACACAGCTAAAATAATGATGTGCATCAAAAGCATTTTTATTTACCAGTTCACTTCAATTCGTGATGTGTTGGAGTCGTACAGTGTGAAATGTTCGAACCCCCGAAGCTCTCTGCCCCGAGCAGGGGTCGGAATTCTATCACGCTACAGACAGAAATTTCATAAAAAATAATACAAAATTGCCAACTGAAGGACCTGATTAGATGAACACTAAAAATGAATTTTGACCTGTGACGTCGCAGAATTGTCGACCCCTGCATGGTGTAGGGAGCTTCGAGGGTCACAACGTCTTCCACTGTATCTGGGGATCATTTCTTGCTTAAATAGATTAGCTGTAATTTCGTTAAATAAGTACATAGTACAATAATTTTCCACTGTATTAGTTACAAATTTTAGCAACGAATTAGCACCAACAGTTTGGTACAAGTACCCGGGTATCGTAACTTTGGTCGGGGTAACATAACTAAAAAGTGACGCTTCACTCGACCCAAAGCTACGATTCCCCGGCACTTGTACTAGAGTAACCAACAAGCAATCGGTAACTATGCAAATATGTATCCAAAAATATGCACCACTTAATACAAGGGACGCAGGAATAAATTGGTTACTGTGACGGATAACGACTTAACACGACGAATATTAATTCAGAAATAAAAATAAATCAATGTGAATACTGAAAGACGCAAGTTAATGCCCGGAGTAAGCGAATTTTTAATTTGTAACATATTTAACTTATGAAAGCAGTACTACTATGAATACTTTTACCGTAATAGCAATGATGACATCAAAAATGACAGATATAGAAGAATATTTAAACACAATATTGTCTTTAATTTTAACGCAGACACCTTAATTAATTACATTTTGCTTGTATTCCGCAGCCCTTGGAGAGACCAACGTGCTCAGAAGATTCAAAACTGTCGGCGTATTCCTCAACGTGTGCATTAGTCTCGTGATCCTCGTCCCCCTGGCGATGTGCACGATGCCGCTTCTATTCAAAAAAGTCGACCCGACATATTTCATATTTCGACATGTAAATCTTATCCCGGCCTCGGGGATTCTTGTGTTTAGAATAATTTGCATATTTTTTCCTCTCCTTCATTGCTCTGTAATCATCGTCTCGAACCTAATTGAGGTGACGAACGTGTTCATCCTAACAATATCTGCTTTAGACTCGATAATTCTCTATGAGAAGCGAAATAAGAAATATTCTACCGTCAAGATTTTCCAGAGGGTTCAAAATACGGTTCAATTTAGGAAATATATTTCGAAATATGGACAAATTCAAATAGTAATGTGTCTTGAACGACATTTACTGTTTCGTTTTCCCGCTTGTGCTTCTCCTCCCGCTAATTTCGGCGGTTGGAACGGGCTGCATTTTAGTCAAGTTGACAAGATTCGTCCCATTTCCGGTTGTATTTGGGTCGGGAATTTTTGGTCTTTGTAGCATTGTCGTGTTGCACTTGGTTATGCCCATCGTAGCAGAAGTGACGACCAAATCGAAGGAATTTGTCCGTTACTGGGAATTGCGTGGGGTTACGGAGTACAGGGTGAGAAATCTGAAGAGTTGCAGGCCAATTAGAGTGGCAATGGGACCGTTCTTTTATGTAAATAGAGGCACAAGAAGTACGTTTCTATCCCTTGTGGTCTATTACACCTTATCGGGGATCATTTTAATTTGACTTCCCGATATTAATAAATATATTCTAATTGTTTTCAAATTATCATTGTGAAAAATCGGTAGACGAATTACTGATGTAAATGGTAATTTACTTCATTTAGAAATAATGTACAAAAGCGATTTACAATTAATACACTCTACACAAAATTAGGTCAGGCGGTGTCACTATGTGACATTACCATATTGGTTAGGATTTTATTACCACACGGTTTCGTAACATTACCATATGGTTTGGAAGATATAACCATTTGTAATAAAATTATTACTATGCGGTATCAAAAACAATAACCTGGTCGGTTAAGTCGCATAGTGACACCGGGCGGTGACAATCGTTAAAATTTTATTTTCAGTGTACCGATTACGTATTACAATTACATTCTGTAGTAGGATTACGTATGTATCCGGTTCCTTTCGCCACTTTTGCCTTGGTCGTGGCCTGTGTGTAAATACATTCGTAGGGTTGGATGGTTGTGGAGAGATCAAGAACGAAACTCGGTGACGTAAGAAGTATTTATGCATATTTTGCATAATTTTTTGCAAGATATTTGTAAACCCATATATAAAAAACTGTCATACTTTTTTTTCTGTAATATTGTTACATATATATTCTCCTACATCGGGAAATTTATCCCTTCATGTCATTGTGTACTAAGAAAGTATCAGTAATTTGTAAACGTCGATTAACAATTAATAAAGACTAAATTTTAAACATGGATTACGGTCTCCTTCGAATTTCGGCCAACTATCACATGCACACATATTTGCCAAATAATGATCGATCCATCCAAGTTTTCCGTTGAAATGATGTAGTATAAATAAATACATATGTACATATGTTCATAGGTAAAATAGTAATAATTAATTTATGTACATATATCGTCCAGACGCTAAATGTGTGTGTATGTACATGCAAGTACCATTTTCACTTTGAAACTTCATTTGCATAATTTGAAACCATCGGAAGAGAAATATGCATATTTTACTTGTCATGGACAACCCGATTTGCGAAAATGACTACCCTTAGGATATGTACATATTCTATAATTATTGTTGCATATCACCTCATTTGCATATTTTGATGCATTCGCGAGAGACACAGAGTTTACTTAACATTTAAACCCCGTATCGCCGAAATTTGTATCGTGAGATTTATGCAAATGAGGTGACCCGCAACAATAACTATAGAGTACTTACTGACTGTACCAATTTCCGTACTTTGAGCAACTATCACAGAACTCTGCCCTATCAACTATCCTTAAAAAATTTGAAGCAGCTTTATCCTACGATTAAATTTTAATATTGTGCGGTAAACCAAATTAACTTATTTTGTGGATTTGTTGAATATTGGTACTAATAATCTTCTTAAAAGTCCTCCACATGTCTGGGATAAGTTTGAAACACAATTTTTGCATCACATCTTCCCCCAAACTTGCATTTTCGCTAATACGGTTAGGCTTACTGACTACTTTTACATAGCGTAACATCTATGATAATTTATATCTTTATTTGAGATAAATAAGTTTGTGTTTATTACTGTTCGAGTCCATAACGTTTAATTGTTTTGTAAGCACAATCTAAACAAAAGCTTCCGAAGCTATTAACTTAATGGATTTCTTACTATGTAGCTGAGAATGAATTAATAATGAGGAAATATCAAGCAAATATCAGAAATGTTATTGTCTGCCAGGTTCTCCCAGTCTGACGGGGTTTCGCTGAAATAATACCATTTGGCGAGAAATTACTAAAATCCAGCTGTTAAATATGTAAGTAATCGCAACTTAAAATTAAAAATTGCTCCCTTCATCCAGGTGTTATATTTTAATACATCCAAAATTTAAATATGATAGTGTCGAAGAGACCAGAAACTTAGAATACACTTTTCTGCAAAACCATCTATGTTTATCATAACTTTTCCAAATTTTCCGCCACAACTTTCCCTCTTTTCCTAAGGTCAATCCATGATTAGCTTTTCATCATGTGTGATAACATAATTCAGTTATATGCCCGACTTGTATTTCCGCTTAATTCTAAACAACTATCATAAACCAGAAAACTTGCAAGAAAATCGGAACAACCGCAATGGATACGCAGATTTTTACGTCTACTAAAGAAAAGGCAACTCAACAGACTAGATAAACATGAGTAACTCAGCCTGGATAATTTTCTCCGTGTCTCATTTTCTTTACATCGGTGAAGTTTATGGTTCACAAAATCACCCTAACAATCCAATTAGAAACTTACTGTCCAATACTGCCGAAAATTTTGAAATCCAAATTCTATATGATCCTACCCTGCTTTCGGAAGAATTCCCTATAACTTACCAAATTCCTACGACATTAATTTGCTCAAGATCAACTAACCAATTCAGCGAAACACTATATACAGAAAACCACCACTCTTTGAATATTTATAACGGAAGATTCCACCTATACAGGATAAGCCTTGTCTTACTAGAGGAATTTATCAAAAAACCTACACACCCGCAAATTTTGGCTGACTATGCGATAAATTTTCAAATATTGAATGAAGCCATAATGAGGTCTCATTTGCATTTTAGAGACAGCAATCCAATCTCCAGGTATCAAATTGGGTCAAAATACAATCGTGAATATGTTAAGTCAAGCAGAAATACATTCATATTTCTTGCCACGTTTCTATCCAAGAAAGATCTCAACAGGGTGAAATTAGTTAACAATTTGTATTTCTGGGATTACGATGGCTTAGAAAATTTTGCATTTATTCTACTACAAGATAAAAATCATGTTACGTATGAACTATGTGCATTACTTACGGGAAAAGACGCATCGATAAATAATACGCAATGTGAGTTCTTCAAAATTGCCGGTAGCAGTATCACAGACAATTTTAACAGAATTTCAAATTTATCACCATCCCGGCCTATTTGGCTTTTCAAAGGTAAATTTACCGCCAGATCCGACGAACATTTAAACTTCCCAGAGATCGGCGTTTCTAATCCATTCGATAGGAATATGAATCTGTCTGAATCATGGTACATCGCAAGGCTAATTGTTACCCGGAGCAACGCAACCTTAACCCAAGTTGGGCAGGGTCAAAGACTAATCGTATTTGCTGACCTCAACGTGATAGAAAAATTTCAGAAGTTCGTATAACCTGATTGGGCAAATTGTGCTCACAAAGTCACGTGGATTCAAATTTGTGTCATGCTACGCGGAAAGATATATTTCATTTGGGTTTTACATCGCACCATTTCAACCATTAACTTGGCTGTTGATCGTAATTTCCTTGGTATCAATTATTTCCGCGGTATTAGTATATACAAAAGCACGTGGCACAGTCGTGTTGACATCATCTTACTCAACATGGTTATCTGTTTTAGCAATTTTACTCGACGATTCGGTCAAGGCGCCGAACAAATTGGAAGAATGCATCTTTTATCGAAGTATTTTTGTCCACTGGGGCCCCGTTGCTATTATCTTGTCAAACTGCTACACTGGATTGATGATAACCGAACTAAACTCTCACTTGAAAGGATTGAGACCCGAAAGTTTTGACGACTTAGTTTGCAACAAATCTTACCTCGCTTTGCTAGAAGGAATTAATGGCTTTCTAATAAACAAGACTAGATTAAAGTTAAACATTGAGAAATACTCGATTACTATGCCAACCGATTTTTCCAAATCAATTGAGATAGATGATAACGTGTCTTTGGAAGATAATTGTTTCGATATGTTATCAATACCCGCAAATAGTCAATTTAAATACCAGAATCCATATTCAACAGACATGTGGTATGTATTCCAAAATGCTGCTTATGAATTTAGACGGGCATATATTTATGAAAATGGGTCCCCAACGAGGAGCATGTTCATTCAGTATGTTACATATTTAAAAATGCAAATACATCCACGTCGAATAAGTATTGAGGAAGAGCCAACACGGTACGCAGAAAATTGTAGACAATACGCAGAAGAGGAAGTTGCAAATTGTGAGAAAAGTGTGTTTGTGGGTGAAGTGGACAATGTCAATTATGAAATGAAATATCTTTCTCGAAAATATCCACGTCAAAAATTTGCAATAAGTAAGGAAACGATGCATGATGACTTAGTAGGGTGGAGCTTCCACGGAGGTGGAAAATCGACAGTGAGAAGAAATTTATATGCAATAGTGGAATCCGGGATTTACAAAATGTTGCAGCACGAACGATATTCTCGGGGATATTCGAAAAGGACAAGGAACAATCACGCAGAGGGAACAAGTAATATCGAAATCCAAATGTTGAATGGATCTCTTCTAACATTATTTATCTTATGTAGCATATTGTCCACGATTGCATTGATTTGTTTAATATTTGAAAATTACCAAATAATGTTGACTTTTTGTGGTAGAACTTTCACATTATGCTACACAAAGTTAAAGGTATGTATTCCTGTAAAAAATTTTATAAAGCAGACAAATGTAAACGTATCGCGGATAAGCGTTCAACTTTTCTAGGCAAATTTGTCCGGTCTCCTTACCGGTTCGCTTTTAAAAAATCAAAAGGCTTTTAAAAAATCACATGATTTATGTATGTCTGCATACTCTAAATTATCATATGTATCTTGATTTTCATAAGTCGTTCGATGTTTTAAGTGTGATTTACCTTTAAATTTGTATCATGAATAAAACCAATAAAAATTCTAGACAGATGTGACTGTTTAAGTCCTCGAAACAAATTCGAATTGCTGATTTCCGAAAAAATACTATATTGTGCAGTCTACTTGTGAGAAGAGGATGCACAATCATCATTTGCAAGAAACAGGAGAAAGGATTGACTTTCTCCGGGTTCGTGTATATAAAACAAAGTGTGTCATCGATCATCAACCGATTTTGAGGGGCTTCATCCTATGTGAATGCAATGCAATATTAACATTGTGCTATAGCCAGGTGACATAATCTAATGGAGTTTCCACTAGGATGCAAAATCAACAGTGCGGAGAAATTTATTTGCAATTCTAGAATCTGGAATTTACAGGTTGTTGCAGGACGAACGATATTCTCTTGTTTATATTGAAATGAGGCAAATAACAATTAGGCAGATGGAACAAGTAATATCGAAATCCAAAAGTTGGATGGATATCTGCTAACCTTGTTTATGTTATGCAGCTTATTATTGACCACTTCATTGATTTGTTTAATATTTAAAAATTATCAAATAATGTTAACGTCTTTTTGGTGCAGAATATTCACATTATGCTACAAAAGCTGTAAATGTGAGAAAGATTGATAAGTCGGTGTGTAGTTGATACCGCATAAATATGTACATCTTGAATTAACAAATTTAAATGATATTAATTTGACACCCCATTGCGAATTACTTGTATCCCGAATTTCGCTCGAAGTTCTGTAATCTTCTGGGCATTCAGCAGTGGATAAAATGAGTCGGAGGGCTCCACAATTTCAATGCGGTTCAGTACAGGAAACCTGCTGCGTAATGTTCCCCTCTGCAAAACCCGTTATTTGTTTCATGTTGTTCTTATTATTTTCGTCGTGAATCGTATGTATTTATTTTCCACTATCAGAAGGTAAAGTCCATATCACCTGTACCGTGTATAGTATAGCAGAATTTTTCTAATTAATAATTACATCTATTCATAAGCTCGTGAACGAAAACTGACTATAAAGTAGTCGCAAAATTAAAACCCTAACCTTAAAAATGTGAAAACACTAATTAAAAAACTGCAAACTGCAAAACTGCAAAAGGTCAAAGAAAGCTCCTAGAATGAATCATAACTTTGCTAACATGGTGAGCATTGTATAACTTTTTCTAGATTTATCCTTCACAACTGGCAAACAAAAATTATATAATATGCACTTCCATGTTGTCGTGGACTGGTTATCAAAATATGATAACACAAAGAGATAGTAAATTTTGCAAAATATGCGTCAAAGGTTCAATTGCATAGTTTACTATATTCTTACTAAAAGATTGAATTGCTTGGTGTACATATTTATGATTCATATTTAACTCAATTCATGTATATTTCAATGCATACCTCTATTCCTCCATTGAAGTTAAAAATGTCAACATCGCGAGAACTGGTATCTACGAATGTCACATCTTTTCCGATGTAAAGTCGCATTAACTTTGGAAATTCCGTCCCCTCAAATTTACAGAATTCTGACTTTATCCGGCTTTGTAGGAACTCCAAGCTCAAAACCTCTAACATCGGGGCATGTCTTGTGATACATTCTGTCAAACTTGATATCCCAGCGTAAAGCATATCTCCATTTACAATTCGAATTGATAGTCGTCTTAAAGGGTGTATTACCGCTAGATGTAGGAGTTCCTAAAATATTTCAAAGTTGGTCATTGCAAAAAAACTGCTAATAATAGGGAACGACGTTGCATACAGAATATGTCAAAATGCTTTGCTTTTCTTCCATGTTTGATACATATATTGAAAATACGTCTTCAGCAGTACTATACATACATAGGTACATATGTAAACCCATTATTTATTCGCGACTGACTTCGCTGTTGAGGTCAACAGGTCAAAACGTCTTGAGTAACTACTCCCGATAATTTAACCACGGTATTTGTATTTAAGAAGGTCTGAGTGAGACGACTAAATTCATGGGTCTAAACTGGGTATTGACCGGTATTAATATAGGCTCTTCCGCTCTAGTATTTGTTTGGTAGCAGAGTGCAATACCTCGTGGTAATAAATGTAATACCGCACAGATACGATATTTTACCTCTTGGTATAAAAATACATGCTGTAAAATAATCTTAGATATTGAACAGTAAAGAAATTGCTGCTATCATGGTAGAGTCACATATCAATGCCGGACTCTCCGATATTTTTAACTGTTTGGTACGGGATTGCGGGAATCCATGCGGGATTCCTTGAAAGGCACGGGCTATTTTAGAGTTTTTATCAATCTATTGCAGTGTTAGGTCTCAATCCATTGCTGTGTAAAATTATGAATATGTGTAGAATAAAAATTCTGAATATTCTTCTATCTCAGGGAGATTCCAACAAAATTAATATGAATATTCTAAATTCAATTGCGTACATATATACATGAACATTTAAACTGACTACCAATTAATTTGATCTAATGATCTTTGACGTTGAAAACAGTATCAATCAGACTTAAATAAGGGGGAGTCACCCATTTTTTCTGCAGTTAAAACTCCACTATCAACAATCCATGTAAATCGAGTTACCGAGCATTTCACCATATTTTGTATGCAGTGTCGTTTGAAATTAAACCATTCTCATTAAAAATCTCTCACTTTAACGTTAACCTTCATTGTTATATCGATTTCTTCCAGTGCTCCGAATTGTTCCGCATTCCCATTAATGGCCGCTGTAACCTTGTCCAATGAGATGAAAGACGCGTCCACAAAAATAACTTTTTTCGTCTTTAAAAAATTTGAAAAAGCGTGAACCACATCAGTCGAGTAATAAACTCGTAACGTGTTACATATCATCTTTGGCAGTTTGGAAGCATCGACTGGGAAATTTCATTGAGAAATACATTTTTGAATGGTTTTATGAAATTTGAGAAACTGAAAAATTATGAACTCTTTCATTCTTACCCAGGGAATAACCTCTCGGACGAATTTCCACGTGAGAATAGTCATTACACGCTTCAGAAATTGATGCCAACTGGTCAATTGAAATATTGCTTTCCTTCATTATTTGGTGTAACATGAGGGAATGAATTAGCGAACCATTTGGGCACCTCAGGTGTCGTAAAACTTGGGTTAAATCTGCAATAAAATATCTTCAGTGAGTTAACGATTGAAATTATTGAACTCGTTAAGCGAAGTATCCTAGCAATTCTGGATTGACAATGAGTAACCTTGTCGGCCGGATTTTATGCAATTTAACGATAAAAATCCACATATTTAACATTGACATCAAACCCCCAATCCAAAATGTATGTATATACATATTTACAGGGGTTGATTTCTTGCACTGCACAGCAGGAAATTGCATAAAATTCAAGGAGCGAAAAATTCATTAAATACATATGTAGGCTCCTCCTTTCCCTTTGCAGTACGCTTAACTCGAGGGGTTGTCCCCTAGATTGCGCATATTTACTTCATTTCTTGCAGGTGAATCAAAATATTTTCATGTAGTAATTTGTTGCATGTGTTTTTTTTTACGGAAAACACTGTATGAATGCACGTATATATGAATGTAAGGATAAAGAATGTATTCCTAGAAATTTCCGAAGATCTCTCCCGAAATTACATTTGAAACCGCCGGTTTCAAACCGGAAATTAAAAAATTCAGATTTTCAGACATTTCACCCCTTTTATGTAGAAGGTGTGGTCCGATTCAGAGGCCAACGCCGACAAATTTTGCGCCCGGGGCGACACCAATTTTAATGATATTTCGGCGCGGCGTGGCTTCTCAATGGTGAAGGCATAATTTTAGGAGGCGCTGACGCCTAAAATAGTACCGGAGTTCGGCGGCGCGTCGGCAGCGTTGACCTCTGGTCCGATTGACCACATCTTTTAGAGGTTGCGAAAAGCCTATTATTTGCATATGCTTAAGGCGAACGTATGTATGTAGCTTTGGTTACTTCCGCTACTAAAAAGATTAGAAACTGAAATTTTCAAATTGCATCACATGCATACATACATATTTCTGCAAATTTCTCAGATATGTACCAAGAAAAAGTAGTTTCACTAAAATTTCTGCTTACACAAAAACGCCTGTTCGGACCTTTCTTTTCTTTCAGCTTCCTCAGAAATAGTAATGCTCAATTTAAAATGTTTGAAAGTTGCGAGTTTATCATCCAGCGCTGTGTTGATGTCATCCCCCCATTTCAAGACAATAAAGGGCTTATCATTAATGTCCACTTTGATCCGAGAAAATTCGTTGTTAAGCTGGATGAAAACCTGTCAATTAATTAATTACATAAGTATACGTAAATAAATATGTACATATGTACACACATGTGTGCACTGTACGTATGTGTGTTGAGATGATTTTTTGGAACTTCAAAATATTTATTGTATAATTCCAAGTTTTACTACCTTTTGGAAACTACTATATTACTGTTAGTGGCAAACTTACAATGCGAGGCCGTGAAGTGGTACGCTCAGATTTGAACCGGACCAACTTTATTTTGTAGTTCAACTAATAATAATGGACACATGTTTCGGCATTTTCGATAATGCTCAGTTTCAGGTCCGTAATTTGACCCCAAAGTTAGAAAAATGATCATTTTCTTCGTGCGAGGTCAACCGCTCTTTTGTCCGGTTTTCTCTCTTTCTTCTCGCTCACTTCATTCTCTCGCTTGGAATCGTCGATACAGATTTTCATGAATTATTTTTGTTGTAATCTCTCTAAAGTATCTCAACTGTTATCAATCAGATTACTAATTATTAATTCATATCATTAATTATTAAATATTAATTTCAGAAAAAATGTTCTAGAAAATTTGTTAATATTTGGATGCACTAAATTCACAATCATGTGTGAACTAGAACATTTTTTCTGAAATTAATATTTAATAATTAATGATATGAATTAATAATTAGTAATCTGATTGATAACTTAAGATATGTAGTTTAGAGAGATTACAACAAAAATAATTCATGAAAATCTGTATCGACGATTCCAAGCGAGAGAATGTGAGCGAGAAGAAAGAGAGAAAACCGGACAAAAGAGCGGTTGACCTAGCACGAAGAAAATGATCATTTTTCTAACTTTGGGGTCAAATTTTGGACCAGAAACTGAGCATTATCGAAAATGCCGAAACATGTGTCCATTATTATTAGTTGAACTACAAAATAAAGTTGGTCCGATTCAAATCTGAGCGTACCACTTCACGGCCTCGCATTGTTAGCACTAATGCATACATGCATATATATGTACATAAGCATGTATGTACACACACAGTAGTTGCCAAAACGTCGTAAAACTTGGAACTGTACAATAAATATTTAAAAGTTCCAGAAAATCATCTCAACTTACATACGTACAGTGTACAGATGTAGTACAGCTGTACATCGGTTAGCTATTTGTAAACTGGCAGCCTTTACAGAATGTATTTAACGCTAATAACATTGGCAGCTACATACATACTCTAAAATTATTGTTGTGGGTCACCTTATGTGCATAAATCCCACGCTGCCCATTTCGGCGGTACGGGGTTTCAATGCTAACTAAACTCTCGCGAATGCGTCAAAATATGCAAATGAGGTGACTAGCCGAAAAAATTCTATAATGTGTAATATTTCAAACTCAGAATACTTCTTACCCTACTAATTTCCGAAAATCTTTGTGCGGCGATTCTTTTCCACTTTTTGTTTACGAAACGAACAGTTTTAATCCCGTTCAAGTTCATGGAGGAGAATATATTTTCCAGCAACTACAAAATCACGGGATCAATTGTGTATGTGCAACCAAATTGTTGAATTTTCAATTTGTAAATTCCCGCATGAAAGTGATCCGACATAGAATTGGCATTTGTACGAATATAATACGTAAAAAGATACACAAATATTGATATTTACGCATAATAAATAATGCGTAAATTTTTGTGCAGGGTACGATATGCAGAACTTTTCGTGAATTATACAGAATTATGCACGTTTCACCTCCATAAACTGCAATGCAGAAAATTTTGTGCTCCCGATTAATATGCAGGATCATTTTCATGCAGAAAACTAAATGTTTGGATTTAGTATGTACATACCAGTTCGTTCTTGAAAATTGATTCCATCAACTCCATGCTTGCTCTATGTTCTATGGTCATAATCTATACTTTCACAACCAATTAAGTATTTAAACTAATTCGAAAAACTACACACAAAGAAATTGGTACTGAAATTTGACACTTAAACGTGCTCATTTACTCGTCTCATCAACACGATGTGCCTACACATAAGATGGTCACTACGCAATTTGATTTGAACACATTGGATTTATCCAAGAGTTTATACTCGCGTCATCAGTGGATGACGTAGTTTTATTAATACTCAAGCCAAATATTGGGCGTATTCACGTCAACCTTTGGTAATATCACATCGCAAATTCAAGCTACTTTGCAAGGTTTGCTAAAAATCTGAGGGATTTTTGCTCGGAAGTTCACCCAGCATCTCGTCACGTGCTTACACATTTCGTTGCACTGTCTCCGCCTTCCACTCACAATCACGAAAAGAGAATTTACAAAAATCCGTGCAAACTTTATAAATAAAAATCGATATTTTGATGGTTTTGCAAGATTTTCAAAGATACATATATCCATTTCGCGAAGCCCGTCACGACAAAAATTTCGCAAATTTACTAAATAAGGTGTGACGCTAAATAAGAGGTTGTCATGAGTTCGCCCAATATACTGAAGTATTAAATCCACCCTTAGTTTTTCTTAAATTATAGATCGAACAGATGACTACTCACGTATGTATGTGTATCCTGCACTTGCAAGGTGTGAACCAACATTGAAACATAATTGTAATAGTTACAGGCATATACATATTGCGCATGTTAAAATTGACATGGCAGGATGACCTCAATTGAAAACAATGGTCACAAATCGATCGCACTATATTCATACTTTGTCGGCTTCATGGAAATTGAGTTTGAACAGTTACAAATTTAATGTACTGTAGGTGTAGGCAAATATTCACATCCTGCTTATCCCATATCTCTCATGTTTGTTCCCCAAACATGAGAGATAGGACCAAATTCTCTGATTTTGTATGGTGTAACACATTGCTGAACACATCAAGCGTATTTATTGAGCCAAGTTAATAAACAGGGGAAACAGAATAACGTCGACGGAGAAGAATATATTTTACATATGGCGTGCAATGATCTAACTCATTCGTACCACTACTACGTATGTAATTCGTATTTACAGTACATATGTATGTATGTATGTGCATGCAGCTAAATGTACACATACTCTAAAATTATTGCTGCAGGTCACCTCATTCGCATAAATCTCACGATGCCGATTCCGTGGATGCGATACGTGGTTCCAATATTAAGTAAACTCTATGTCTCGCTTAAATCCGTCAAAATATCCAGATGAAGTGACTAGCCGAAAAATTCTACTATATGTAAATATGTACATACGTACGTACCGTAAAATCTCTTATAGAGGCCGGGTCAAAATTTTTTTCTTGACATCTTCCATCCGATGCCTACAGTAAATATGTCTCGCGTATATACAGTATTTCCTCCCACGATACGAAGGCGAGTCAATTAATCTGGCAATACAAATTTATTTCATCAATAAAAGCTATTTCGTCCAATTCAGTTTGTGACTTTTGAACGTCTAATCCTCCCAGTTCAAAGTAACATTTAGCTCGATGTGTCACTTGCTTCCATCCGTCAGGAAAAAATCCTTTAGTGAAACTATTTTGCAAAGAATGCATACACGAAATTACATCGTTATCACTCTCTAAACTTGTTCCCCATATAATTTTTTTTCATTTTTCAATTAATGTAAGTCACAGGGTCCTTGAGAAAGAGAAAATGGGGGGTGGTCAATTTTTCAGAGTGGAGATCGCTGCAGTGTGGGTCTCACAACATAACACTTTGAGACAAAAAATTTTCCAGCGTCAAGAAAAATCTGCATGAAAAAGTTCCTCTCCTGTTATTTGTTATACGAGTAGTTTTGAGCAATTCTTAAGGCACATTCACCTGATGATTTGCATGAATTATCAGTCCTTCTGGCAAAAAGTGCATGCATAACTTCATTACCATCCGAATAAATCATGGCTGCAACCAAGTTGGCGAAAGATGTGCTCCCGAAACAAGTGGGCAACCCAACCTATGTATCCTTTGGATTTCTTTAGGTTTTACCTGATTTTATCCCATTCTCCCGTTTTCATCCACGTAATTGACTTTTGTTTTGCCTCAAGGTGATAGTCATGGACTCATATATGTTCTCATATGTAAAGATTTTTAGGTTAAGATGATCAGGTTCTATTTGCCTAAAAATTCAGCAGGCTTCGGCAAATTCGCATCGTTCCCTAAGTTTGTGCTAGTCAGGGCCCGTTTTGAGTATGGGCGAGCTGGGCAACTGCCCAGGGCGCCAGAAATCGAAGGGGCGCCGAAAGGCGCCCCTATACACTAGATATATTAAGGTTTCCTGAAGGGGATTTCAATTACTGATAAAAATCTGAGATGTAAATTTTAGTAACAGTTCCAGGTTATTAAATTATCCTGTAAGTAATAACCGACAATTTGAAAATCAAGTGCTTACACTAGCACTGCAAGTGTAAGCACTGATCGCTTAGAAAACCCGAATTTCTAATGTAGGGTGAAAATCCCTCTTCTACGAGAAATGTTTATGATGTCAATTATATTTTTGCTATAAATACGTCTACCGTACTTTACAAACTCGAGTGTTTTACATGCGAACTCATCAATATCTGAAATTTACACATTAGGGCGAGGTCCATGCTCAACATTTTTTCCGGCACACATACGCTACGCCACCAGACAACCAATTCCACTGTACGATAAAGTACTATTGTCGTAAACATTTTACATTTTAGGAATGAATGAGGAAAATCTCAGCTCTGTATCTTATTTCTTAAGATACTTATTGACTTTCCCTCGTATACTAAATATATATGCATACGGGGGGGGATTGGCTTTAATAAGAAATTTAACAAACCCAAACTGAAGGTTTTGGTGGTAGCAAATGTGTCAAATTCTGGAACTGGGTTCAGAAATTCAGGTTCGATCATGCCGTTGATATAATCGGGACAATTTGAGACGAATTTTCAAGACAATTTTCATGGAAATTTTCATAGGAATTTTCATTGCAGCCCAGTACACACATATTGTAAAAGTAGGAATACCCCGCTATGGTATTCCTCAAAATGGATTTGTATTTATTTTGTAATTTATTAGTAATAATTAATTTTTAAATTAGGCAAACTCAGTAAGATGCACTTTCCTTATTTTACACACATATATTTTGCTTACAATTATGCATGACATTTTTTTAGATTTTAATAACTTTTTTTAATAACGGTATTTTTTCAAATTCATTTTTCATATCGTTAACTTGAAGGCACGTTACGTGCTATTTGAAAAACCCTAAATTCCCGCCAAGTTTTGAACTTTCTCTTTCTTTGCTCGAGATAACCGTACGATTTGGCGTATCATGATTTTCACCGACCTTAAGGTTATGCCAAATACAAATATTGCATAATGCACAGCCCTTTTCCTGTATTCAACCATAAACACGACACCCCACGCCAACAAAACTACCGCGCTCGTGACAAGAAATCCTTTCAAATGCTTCAACTCAATATAATTCTCCTTTTCTTCCCACCTCCTACGCTTCAAATGTTTCAATTTTGCATAATACAACCATACACTATCCCAATAAAGGGGGATCCCAAATTCCAACAAATTCGCATGTACCTCACTTGCCCTTCTGGACAATGCAAATCCAAAAAAGGAAAACGAAGTTTGCGAATGGCCAAATGGAAACTTGTCGCAAATATACTTCCCATCAGATCGGTGAATCATGTCGACAAAAACTTGCAAACTTTCCATGCGAGTGGCAACATAATTTGTCACCCGCCTATCAATGTACCCCACGCGGGACAAATTTTCCCACTGAGTGAACGTTTCTTCACGGACGTACTCATTCGTCTCAATGATGTGGAACGAATCCTTAATTTTGTGCAGTGGAACGCCATGTCGTTCAAGCACCCGGCTGAATACGGGACTAAATTTGGTGATATCACCGGACAAAAAGAGATTTTTCGAGTAGCCTACGACTGTCTTTGAGGAATTGATAAAATCTCCGACGTCCTTGAACCGATATGGTTTCGAGGGTGCGATTAAACTTCCGGTAATCGTTCCCTCGTAACACCACGGGATTAAGAGAGTGATAAGGGTGAAGGGAATATCTTTCTGGGTAACAGCTCGAATTGGCTGTCGCATCAGTAGGGATAATAAGAAGTAGGAGGTCTCAAGGGAGGATTCAAGTACACGGGAAAGATTAAGGTGCCACGTTGCCTCATAGTAATGCCCTCCACGCAAAGATGACACAATGAATACGATGACAATCGCAATCCAAACGTTTCGTTTAAACGGCTTCATCCAATTGCTCAATGATCGGTCTGAAAGGTCATGTGGTCCGCAATAGAGGACAAACGTTTCTAAATCTCCGGACCAAAGATTTCTACTCGTTATTCCGAACTGTGTGTCGTCAGGCGGGGAAAATTGTAACGCGATCTCGGGATCGCTCGTTACATATAGACCAGTAAAGTTGAGGTGTCTCTGAAGAACTTGGATCTCTTCGACTGACCGATCACAGAAAAAGATGGAATTCTTGTTATGATTGTCGTCCTCATAGAATGACGAGATTCCCGTGTTAATCATATGGCAGATTGAGGGGCCAAACTGTCTTGGGTGATATATTGAAACCACTCTGCCTTGATGGTTTACATCCGTGGGGAGGAGCAGAGGACCTAGCAGGATTATTTAAAATCATGGTAGAAAAACATTTCTTGATTCAAAAATTAAAATGCTTCCTTTCTTAAAACTTTTATGCATAGCGTTAATTCAATCGATTTATTACATCTCTCTTGGTAGTTGGAAATGGCGCGTCTAATAAATTAATCCCGGGTAGGGCCAGGAAAAATCCGGGTTTTACAACTAAAAACCACAACCCAGCCGGTTTTAAGGGGTTTTACAATGCTATTGAGGTTTTACTCGAGTTTAACCGAGTTTTATGGAATTCTTGGGGTAAAACAAGGCCAGCCTGAATTTGCACATATAAAATAAATACTGCTCTGATGACTTAATTGGGGTCGAATAAATGTCAGGAAATTGTTTTTTCGATCGAATTTGAGGTAAAACCCAGTAAAACCAGGGGTCGGAGTACCCTGGGTCGGAATACCAGGGGTTGGAATACCAGAGGTCAGAATACCAGGGAAACACCTGTCTTGTGAAATCCAGTTATATACATATTTACCTTGATTGATGTCCCTTAAAGTAAAATCATCCCACTCAATGATTTCAAACTTCTGAAACTGTCGCGAATAGTAGTAATGAATTGGAATCTTTTCAATAACACCATAATCTATAGACTGAGGCGGGATAATCATCAGAAAAAGGGACAATGGAAATAGGGTGCACACGTGACACGAAATCTCCACTTCTTCCATACTTTGGACCATCAAAACGAACCCGATCTTCGGAAGAAGATAAGTAAAGGATGGAAAATATCCACCACGGTTAATCCTAAGTTCATTGTCGAAATTTATAACATGTTGCCCCATATTTGCGGCGGGAACGAAGCAAACTGCATCATTCGTGTTGAGCCGTGATACCCACAGGATGCGCATTGGTATCGGCTCCATTGAAATTGCCTTATTGTTAAAAATCACCTTCGGATTTGAAACTTGATTTAATATTATTTGGAACAAGTTATCATCGATGTTGTCCCTGTGGGTTGAGA